AGTTTTCCACTCAAATGTTTGAGTGGAAAACTGTAATTTCCGAGTGGCACTGAAGGCATCCCGACGCAGCAGTACCCTGTGCACACTGCTTACTGACATGTCACTGGCTAAAAGCTCTGGCAGTGGCACACGTTCCTACATGATCCAAAACACACCCCTGGTATTGATAACAGCAGAAGTTAAGCAGGTATTTATAACATATTACACTGTATTACCTTCCTAATGAGAGGTGGCCACACACTTGCAGTACATAAGAAATAGCAGCATGAAAGCGTTGCGCACTGTCTGCTCCATGTCTCGTTTAAATTAGCCACGAGCTCTGCTCATGCTGATATAGATCTTCTTTTAGACATCGTCTTTGTACGTATGTATGTTTTAGTGCACATGCTGAATTATAGTGTTTACAGTCATTAGTTTTCCACTGCATGGAAGCAGGCTATGCATGTCATATTAAAGCTTTGAATCAACTTCACTATACTGTAATGCGAGGGTTTAATTAGCTGCCTAGATTCATTAATTAATTAGATTAGGCTTGGTGCTTATGATTGGTGTTTATGATTTTATAAATATTGTGTTTATTCAAGAAACATTTACAAACTCATTTATTATGAGCGTGTACAAGAAAAATATTCAGGCAAAACTGGAAGGTTCATATCGTAACCGGGCAGTTTTCGAATCAATAAAGTGACGTCTTTGTTTTTGCGCATGTGCTTCATTGCGTCTTTGTTGTTTTGTGCGTACGCGGGCCTGTTCAGTATAGTGAACCGTTCACATTGAAATCTGATATTGCCCACATTAAAAAAAAAAAAGAGTAATGTGAACAGGCAAACAAAAAATCCGATCAGAGCAGGAAATCAGAATCGAGCATTGAGGCCTGCAGTGAACGTAGCCATAGAGACAATTATATACCAAGGGCTATTTAGACCAGTGTTTCTCAACCTGGTTCTCAGGGACCAACGACGGTCCACGTTTTTGCTCCTTTCCAGCTCTCCGCCAGGCAGTTCACGTTTTTGCTCCTTTCCAGCTCTCCGCCAGGCAGTTCACGTTTTTGCTCCTTTCCAGCTCTCCGCCAGGCAGTTCACATTTTTGGTCCTTCCCAGCTCCTGACTTTCTGGGGGTCCCAAGGACTAGTCTGAGAAACACTGACTTAGACTTCACACCTTTGGACTGTGGGAGCTGGAGGAAGCCTACACTGCACACAGAGAAAGTGTAAACTCCCGTGGAACACAAAGTGGTGATTTGGGGGGGAAAAAATGATCATACATAGTCGTGGGAAAATTTTTAAGACCACAGGACAATTTTTGTTTCACTCATTTCTCAATTTATTGGTGTACCTCTGTGAATAATACATATTTTTTGCAAACTGCAGCCATGTTTCTTATTAATGAAGGGCTTCTTCCTTGCTTTATGGGACTTCAGTTCTGCTTCTAGGAGCCTGAAACGATCCTGTCCTAACAGTGCACTCCACATCTGCACTTCATGTTTCATCCTCCGATTTATGAGGCATTGCCGGATAATTAAACAGTAATTTCTGGTATTAGAACGTCGCTTCTGCCCTCTACCTGGCTGGTTTCTGGTCGTTCCCAGTGTCTCCTGCTTCACCTTATTCTTGTGTATCTTAGAAATTTTGAACCTGGAAGCAACCTGCTGCTCAGCATAACTTTCTAACAGCAGAACCGGGATTAAACCAGGATTTTAAAATGCAGAATTGTTTAAAAATATAGAGTGGTCTCAATTTTTTCTGTAGCTATATAAGGTTCCACTTTGGCAAGCTAACGGAATTCTGGCGATTGCAGCGACAGTCTCTGTGTGTCCACACTTCTGTATCCACCCAGATATGACAGCTGTTGACCATCTGGCACGTCCCCGTGTGGGGAGGTACGGTTTGAGTGAACGGACAGTGTGTCTTTCTTGGCTCTGGGTGACATGTACAAACAGGGTAAAAACAGCACAAATGCAGGAGATGCTGAACAGCTCACAGACCTCCGCGCTAGCAAGGCACGATGCCGACTTTACTGATAATGCTTCGTGCTTTTAAGTAAATGTGTTATTCAGGGTCAGGCAGAACAGTCATGGAGGTGTTTTTCTGCTCGCTCAAGGGGTGCCGGCCGCAGCCAATCTCACGGCCCGTTTCCTGGAAGCGCCGCGTTCTGAGGAAGGCAGGCCTTTGGCTGACAGAGGGCTGTTTTACACGCAACATCAGCCGCGCAGCGACTTAATGGCCGGCCTGCTACCGGAGGCTGGGGCTCCCTGCAGTCGTAACCGTGCGACTCAGACGGAGGATGTAACACAGAACAAGATGTATCCGCATCCGGGCCTTTGTCTGGCACAGAAAACATTTTTTTTTCTTCCGCTAACATGATCCATCACCCCCCCCCCACACACACACAAACACACACACACAGACACACACACACACACGGAGCTGTTTGGCACTCGTGTCAATTGTAAATAGAACAAGCTGTGGGGCAGGACTCAGAAACTCGAGCCGGAGCTTGAGTAACCCCCCCCACCCCCCCCCCCCCCGCCTCCACTGCACGCTGGCCCCCGTATGTTGTGGTTCCCCGGGGCCTTCAAAGTGTTTGACATAAGTGCCACGCTCATGATTCGCGCAATTTCATTAGCGGTGCCGCAGAAGGACGTTACATGAGACCGGGCGATAATCAGAACAGGAAAGCTACAGTGACAGATGAAGAAAGACACAGGGTCCGCCTGTTAATGTCAAAACAGTGAAAATGGAGACGTTTCCCTCCTTCATCCATATAAGGCCTTGTCTGTCCTGACAGATATTTGTTCATAGCACAGTTCATAACAAAGAATTTCTAAAACTTTCGTCCCAAAAAGGCCCTGGTCTGGAGTGGTGTTATTTCTGACCGCAGCCGTGCTGCAGTATCAGAAAAGCCGAAACCATTTAAAAGCAGATCTCCCATGTTTAGGACGCCGGGGCGGAGGGCGGTGACTCACCACTTCCCAGTGTGAGGCGTTCCTCTCCCGGTACTGCACCTCGTAGGTGAGGCTCATCCAGCCGGCCTTCACGTCGGCCGAGGGCGGCGGCTCCCAGCGGACGATGATGTCGAAGTGCAGCCCGGAGCGACTCACGTTCAGCAGGGTCCAGTTCATGCTGACGGGAGGATCGGGATGCACTGGGGAACAAGGGCGGGAGACTCAGCTGAGCACGTGGCCGCGGCAGAGCCACCGCTGCTGCCGGTGACCTTGTCGTACCGTTTAACGGACATTACCAAGCTAACGGTATCTCCATCCAAACATCTCACAGGAACAGGGTTACAGTGAACCTGTAGCTTATCCCAGGAGCTGCAGGAGGACACAGGGCAGCCGGGAGACGGGGCCTGTCCACACACTGACACTCTAGTGGTAACTAAATTTCTTTTGACATATTTGTCCTGCCTCCCCCCCCAACACACACTTACCCAAAATAAACTATATTAAATGAAATGTTATTTTAATTTGTTGCCGTCAAATAACGTGTACAGGCATATAAGGCGCTCATATTATTTTTAATATTTCTAAAGGTAGCAATTTCAAAATAGGTCTGCCCCCACACCCCTACAGTTCTCAAAGTCCATACACAGAGCAGGGGGTGTGGGGATCAAACCTGCAACCCTGGAGGTATGAGGCGAGAGCACCACCTACAGACTCCCTCTGGTGAGTCTGGTAAATCTGTCTCAGTCTCAAACGGCAGCCACTGTACTCTGGAAGGATGCACACTCTGTACTTTTTATCCGTTTGTGTAGCCGTATGCTTCTTGGAAAAGGTTCAGGAACAGAGTCTCAAATCAAAGGCAGCGAGGTGTGATTCCCTGCAAACCCAGAAGCTTTGGGTAACAAGTAACGCTTCATCCCAACTTCTCCTGACAGGGAACCTGGCATAGGGCACCATGCGATGTTAAAAAATGTATAAATTCAGAAGCACATAAACAAATAAACAAGATTCTTGGCCTTCAAAGTCAGAATCTTTTATGGTATTTCTGGCTATTCTAAAAATAGCTGCTCTCTCCTGATGGGGAACCGTTCGGAGGTGCAGTCCACGTTACAGCATATTTAGCTGCCATTATGAAGCACCCGTACAGCAGGTACCAGAAGCTAAAGCACTGCCCCTCCCTGAACCCCCAAGTACCAGAGAGACAGGCAGTTACAAAGTGACAAGCCTGTCAGTCTGAGCGAGAGCCATGTTACTGCATTCAGAAGCAGGCAGCAGTTCACTCTGGAAAGTGTGGCAGCCAGTATTCAAGATGAAATCCGTCGCTTGTGCAACTGCCACTGGCCCCTCCAAACCACACCCCCACCCCTCCCCACTCTCCAGACTCCTCTGAAGGTCACGACATTCTGTTTGCACAGACTTTCACAAACAAGACCCAGTGCTAAATCCATTCCGTTTTTGAATTTTTTCCTCCAAGTGTGAACGAATCACATTTCGAACAGAAGTATTTTCTATTTACAAGAAATAAACACATAAATTGAAGCTGGAGAAATAAAAAACTGAAAGCATCAGAACCAATTAAGGCATCCTGGCTCACTGCTGTTAACCTCACGATGGCCTTTATACTGTGAAACAGCAGCTTATGTACACTGCAATTTGCACTTTCACAATACAGTGATCCCCCGCTATATCGCGGTTCAGCTATCGCACCCCCATTATATCGCAGATTTTCACCTATCGCTGACGGGTCTGGAACGTAACTTTTGCGATAGGCGGGGGATCACTGTGTACATATAACTAGGATTTTTTTTAATGGGGTGACTTTTTTTCATGTGTTCACTTTGTGTTTGTTCAGTTATTACTTGCGGCTAATTTTATTTCAATCTTTATGTAATTCAAATAGAACAAGAGGCAATTTAATGGTTGATTACATGCAACAATAACCATATGAACTTGAATCCTACAGAAACTACACCAAAACCAAAAACATGGATAAATATACTCACAAAGCAGCACTGATAACACAAATAATTATCTGGCAAACACCCCACAGGCCAGGCTGTGAGGTTTTTCTTCTGCAACAAAACACAAGTGACTACCTGCATGTTCACAATATAGTCCTGAAAGCTGGTGACAAATTAGGTACTTTGTTATGTAAAGGGGAAAAAAAGCAGGATTATCATTAACGCTTAATGACAACAGGACTAAAATAGCTACAATGAAATGGTTGGAATGACAGCAGCGCCTCCGCTTATGACTGCTTACCCCACGTGTAGACCACGTGTAGACCACATGTCCTCATCTGAAGTATTTATTTAAAAAAAACACATGCCTCTGTAACAAAATCATTTAGTTGGTGAAACTTGGACCTTTCTTTTAATGTACAGGTTGGCCTGACAAACAGCAAATCAGGTGGTATAGTTACTAACCCCGTGTTGCTCAAGAACTTGGTGGAACATCGAACTGTGTCAACGAGAGGCACGTGTCGATGGTAGGGACACTGCGAACCCTTCAGAGAGCCAGCTGGACGGTCAATGTCTGCCACCTCCCAAGCAAACACGTAGACAGGTAGCAAAATTATGAGTTTGAACGCCACCCCCCCCCATCTCAAAATCTAGGGGGACCCCCACCCTATCGGTACGGTCACGGAACACCCCATGATTTCAGACTACAGGCCTGGTCCCAAGAGGAGCATGCCATCCCGTAAGGTCACTTGCCCATTCTCCGCACCCCCAGTGATCAGTGTAGGGCGGAGTTTGTCCAAACAGCCTGAGGTCCGCACTCAAAGCCCCGCAGCAGGCTGCCCGTCGCAGACGTGCCGGGAGAGAGGCACACTCACCGATGTCTTCCACATTGAAGCAGCGCTCGTCGTACGTCACATTGTGGTGGCGGGAGCGCAGCTGCAGGCAGTAAGAGGTCCAGATGGACGTGTAGCTCTTGTTGAAGTAGCACTCATTGGGCACGCTGGCGGTGTAGTTGGGGCACTCCATCCAGGTTCTGGAGAGGGAGCTGCCGAACAGAGAGCGGGTGTGAGAATGCGGCGTGTGAGAGGAGCGGCGAATCGGTCACGAGCCTGCCGACCCTTCACGTCCATCAGGGGCTGCAGGTCTGCCATAATGCATTATGTGACACATCTCTAACACTACTTAAATTAAGTATGTAGGTTTGTATTTATACATGTACTTTTTATCGCTGCATCTTGTTTTTTAGCAGGAGAATGAGACACGCAGACTGTGGAAAGATGTAAGACTCATCCACTGCATCCACTAAGCATGTGACCAGGTTTAACGCTCCAGCTGGACCTCAACAGATCACTACTGATTCATTGCCCAATTATTAGCATTTGTGGCAATTAAAAAAATCAATAAATATTGCAAATAAATATTTTAATGGCCTTTTATTTATCGTCTATTTACCCTTTGTTTTACCAGATTACCCCCTTTTTGACTAAATTAATTGATTTTCATGCCAAAGCATATCAGCATGACTGCATGTGACAAAATCTGGAATCAATAAAAATATCACACACAGGGTTTTCATTTTAGGAGCAGAAGTCTTACAAATAAAAATTTCATGTCATGAGAAAGGTCGTTTTTCTACTGCTTCGGTTTTCCTCCTGAGGTCATCGTAGCTTGTGTCCTGTTTGTTTCAGAGTTGTTATTCGGCCCTGGTGCATGCCGGTGTCTGCGCAGAGGCGGGGAACGGCTAAATGCCCTGCCACTGTTTTTCCCAGCTGAGCTGTGCGAGTAATGCATGGCTAGAATTTAATGCCGGGGACAGATGGTCAGGGAGAAGCTCCTGTGTCACACTTACTTCTTTTTCAGAAAGAACACCCGCAGGGCGCCGGGCTGAGAGAGATTCCGGAAGCTTCCGGCGCTCCACCAGCATCGGAAGGTCTCCTGCTCCCGGGAGAGGCAGGCCGTAAAATGGGGGCTTTCTAGGGGGGCTTAAGGGAAAAGATTAAGAATCAGTGAGCATCACACACACCGGAGGAATAGGAGCTCATGTGGATTTGACACTTTAAGGAACCAAGAGAGATCCTGCTTTAGCAACACAGTCTCTTAGAATTCCGAGAGAACAGACTGAGGGATTCTTCATACCCTTTAATAATTTGCTATGTAGTTTAAAAACCCCACCAAAGGAGAAAAGATTCAAAAACTATTTTCACATTTTAGAAACACCATCCAGCATTTTCTTAAACTTTAAGGTACAGACAGAGGCTTATTTTGTAATTACATTAAATGAACACAATAAAAACTTTCTTGAATAATGACAATATGTCATGACACACTCAGTGGCCGCTTTATTAGGTACGTCTAGCTGGTACTGGGTAGGGCCCACTTTGCCTCCTGAACCACTTCAGCGCTGGATGAGTTGTTCCATCAGAGATGCCTTTCTGTACACCACTTGCACTGAGATGTTATTTTTGCACTGATTGCCATCCTGTTAGCTTTAACGAGTCTGGTCATTTTCCTGTGACTTCCCTTCAACAAGGTGCTTTTTCCCCCAAAGAAAAAGACACTGACTGGAAATGTTTCCATTTGTCACACTATTCTCTGTACACTCTATAGACTGTTGTGTGTAAAATTTTCACACAGCCATAAATATCTAACCCCCACACCATCCCACCTCCTGAAGACATATAACTAAAGCAAACAGTCAGATAGAACCGGCCTGCAGAGCGCTAGATATGCCTCAGTTTTTCATTTTATTGTGAACAGAAGCATGTAAATGTAGTGTGACCTTTAAACAGCGCACTAGTTAGAGACGGCTGTATAAAATCCAATTTGCAGGAAGACAGTAATGCCATAATACAGCTCTCCTGGCTCGACCGACACCAAACGCCGACAGCAAGATGGATTCCTCCTGTACAAAGCTGCTGAGCTCGACAAAACTCGACCCGATCGACTGAAAGCCGGCCCAGACGGTAGGTAAATAGTGGCTCTGTCTCCAAGCGAAGGCGAACGCAGGAAGTCTCCTCTGCACCCAGGGTGCATCTAAGTCCTACTGCCGTAAACACAAACACACATGGATTACCATCTTTCCCAAGCTGACTCCCTTTGCGCCGTTATGTAATGTACAGCACCAGGGTCACTAATATTTATGAAAAAAATAATTATTTCTTGCTCGACACTCCAGGGCTACATTGTTAAAATGTCTTTTAGGTTTTTATTAGCAAATGGTACAGAGGATTTGACAAACACTCAGACTCAGCGCTTCCTTAGTCTGAAATCTCTATCGTCCCCGTTTTCAGCTTTTAACTACTGATAACCCAGGATGAACATATGTGGCATTGAGCTATGCTGTGTCAATGTGATGAGTCTGGGGAGGGAACGCAAGATTTTCTGTTACCAGTCAACTGGGCTAGTTTACTAAAAAAAAAAAAAAAAAAAAAAGCATTCAACATGCACGTTTTTTTTTTACTAGCCAGTACGGTAGTGGCCAGTATTTTTGTACCCCTAGTCTAAATTACTCTCCTCAAGTGAGCGCGCAGAATTAATTTCCAGACCTGGATGAGTCCAAGACAAAAGCTCAGGAAATGAGACAGAGGCTTGATCTTCTGGTGGAGCACAGAAAGGAATAACTTTAAGGAGCCAGTTTATTTACCAAGCAAACGCATGTGCAGTGATATGTACCTAAGTGGATTATATACATTTTTAGCACTCCAGGTTAATCTTCCTCTGAAAAAGCAGCAACATTTTGTTCATAAGGCCAATGCATTGTTTACCATCTCCACCATATATCATATTGTATACCTATACATGTACTTTTATTGCAGATATTGAATTGATTAATAACGAAGGGTGGGGGTTCGAAGGCAAGTTTTTCTTGTGTCAAATGGGTTTCCTCAGGGTGCTCTGGTGTCTGTCCACCATCCAAAAGACATGGTTTAGCAAACTGGTCTCTCTAAATTGCTCATAGTGTCCGTGCGTGTGTGTCCATGTGAACACCCCTCCCTGGACTGGCAGCCCATCCAGGGGGCTCCCCCCGCCTTGTGCTGCCTGCTCTAGGCCACCAGCGACCCTGACCAGCATACGCATTTGGAAGATGGATGGATGGATGGATGGATGGAAGACATACTGGCAACTATTTGTGATCAATTTTACCATAATTATATGTAATTTCTCTGCATAATTACATAGAATTTCTTTTGCTGGGGATGGAAGAAAGGCCTTCTATAGTGTGTCTGGGGAGAAACACATGAAGAGGACGCTAAGAGCAGCGTATGAACTGGTTTACATACCTCGGCACCACCCGGGAGCAGCCTCGGCCATCCGAACACAGATTTACAGCTGGTATTACAGCGCGGGCAGCTTTAAGGGCTGTCATAAACAACCTGCGGCTGCATGGGACTATATATCTCCACTGGTGCGCTTGTGTGGCTGCGCTGCATGAGGTGATGCAGAAGTTTGTTTTGTGTATTTTCTAAGCTGGTGAAGCCGATGAGGAGACTTGCCTGAAACGCAGAGAAATGCAGGCAGCCACAAAGCGCGAGGAAGACAGGCAGCATCGCTACGGCCTGTTTTTCCGTCTTGACGGTCAATTGTCCGCATTAAGGCCCCTACACTGGCCCAGAAATCAATGCCGCCAACTCGGCCCCCAGAGCACGGGGGCCATCGATTGTGGCCTTCAGGAGCATGGCTTCATCGTTTATCACGCCTGGGTTGGGGGGGGGGAGGGGCAGGGTGGTACACCCAGGCTCTGATCACGGAGCACAAACAATTCAGCTGTCCATCACGGAGCGGGTGGCAGGAACATCAAGTTCCCATAAGTGCGGGAGCACAGAGAGATGCACGTTGGAGTGTGTGAGGTTTGAGTCTGTGGCTTATCAGAAACCACAGTCACAGTAATGATCTAATCAAACCTGATTTTTCAGCATTCTGAGTTTCATAAAATGCACACAGCCTCCCAATACTGGTCTTTTCTACAAGATCAACTAAGACAACATCACTGTTAGATTTCCATCCATCCATTTTCTGAAACCGCTTGTTCTATTCAGAGTCAGGCGGTCCGGAAGCTATGGGTGCAAGGCAGGGGACAACCCAGGTTTGTGTGTGTGTGTGTCTGTGTCTGTGTGGGAGGGGGGAGGTTCTCCTGGCATTTGCATGGGTTTTCTGAGTACTCTGGGTCTTGTCCACCAAGTTAATCTCTCTAAATTGCCTTCAGTATGTATGTGCCCTGCAATAGACTGGCATCCCAACCAAGATGTACCCCAGTCTCCTGTCCGGTGCTGGCTGGCATGAGTTCTAAGCCTCTTTACAACTCTGATCAGGATAAGAACTTGGAAATTTCATTTCTCTTATTTAGTCAATAATCCGCACAAAACATCTCTGTAGCAAACAGCCAAATGTCTCTACTTTTACCCAAGCCTATTATGTAGCCCACATACATACTGTTCCTGTAGTAGCCGGTAGTAATTTGCTGTGTGGATATAGCAAATGCTGAACAAAATAAATCACAGTCCATATATGCTACAGATAATACACAGCACATGGCTGAAGCCAGTTACATGTATGTTAGACTGTAGGTATCAGTGTTACTGTACGCAGAGCCCCCAACGTGACAAAAATAAGGGCGATTATTCAAAATGAGATGGTGTGTTCAAGAGGCTGTTGGGCTCATCATACAGATGTTCTGGGGTAATTATCCGAGGGCCGAAGGGAACAGCTCGATGACTCACTCCCTCCCTGCTGCAGGCTGCTCGCTGGCTGGCATTTTTTATTATTATTTATTTTTTTTTTTAAACAGCCTGTTTTGCTGAAAGATTCACTGAGGGTTTTCTCTGAAAGCGGAAACTTGAAAAAAAAAATGATCATTCTCCGGACACACGTTTCTGCAATTTAAGCTGGAAATTGCAGTAATGATGGATCTCAATCTGGTGGAAAGAGGGTGAACGGGTTTTCAAAGCCTGAGGACCTGATGCCCATGTCGCATGTCTGCGCATGGGTTACGCAACGGTGCTCGGATGCGCATGTCTGCGCATACTTCAGACAGCAAATCAGACTGACTCCTAAACTAACATACACCACCGTTACACTACAACAGCTATAGAACACTACATATTACATCAGGTTACACACAAGCCCAATTTTAAAACATCAACGTAATAGCAAAGTTATTTTATACTTTATAATTCTGGAATCTAATTGGCCAGAAAGACATTGATTAATTTTCTATAACCACACACACACACACACACAGTACTCAGGAATTTTAAGTAAGGGTAGTTGGAATTTAAGATATAATATCCCATTGATTTACTGATGTGATTTGCCTGGTTGGTACAACACGATTTAAATTGAACTGAAACTAAACAGGAAGGTTTAATCACTGGGGAGGTTAAATCGCTGCGTGGGGGGGTTCTTTGCCTCCGCAGTTGTGATTTTAAGAGCGTATAATGAACAGCCTATTGTGAATTGACCCTTACTAAAATCATTAAGGAACTCCTTGTGCAGAAGTAGTGTTACACATTATGCTGATTCATTTAAGGGTGCAAAATTGTGTACTAGTGAGACAGCTCAGGCACACTGGTCACTCACTGGCTCCCATGATTCCATTATTCCCTCCCCAGGGGCAGTGCTGTCATACAGACCATCAGCAGGTACTGGGGTATAAGGGGATTCTGATATGTATCACCAAGTGCACAGAAACTCCCATACAGCCGTCCACCTGCATCCAAACGCAAAGGAGTGCACAAACGTGCAAAGCGACGCACACAGAAACAGTAAAGCACTGGTGATCTGCATCATGCTCGCTCAATTAAAAAACTTTGGTGACTTGCAAATGGGGGGGGGGGGGGGGACCACTGATCCTGTTGGAATTTTCCTTCGCCCTGGAAATTCCACTAATTTTAACAGGCAGATGAACAACATTAGTACTGAATAGGGACTCTCCTCTACCTTGTGATTACATTCTGTGAAACTTTATAATATGCCAGAATCTATT